GCGGACTACTTAAATAGGCAATCAAAAGTTGTACGTGTGGCTAGTTTGTACTCTCCAAAATATGTATACTGTACAGGTGTCATAAGGGGCTTAGCGTACGGTAAAACTTGACTAATAACTGAATAAAGAGAATCGACCAAGAGGTCACCTTAAAAACAAAAAAAAAAAAATAATAATACTAGCTCTTTAACCCTTGCACTGCTTTGGGCAAGAATATATTTATATAGGATTATATTTATATTATAATAGTACTATATTATATATATATCACTTGTCACATAATAGACAATTTAATCATAATGATAAAGACATAATTAATTATTAATTGTAATAATATATTATATATATTAAACAAAAACCTTAGAAATTACTTCAGAACCAATAAAAAATTTATTATAAGAAAAATAAAAATTAAAAAATTATACTAATTTTGCACTATATCCTAAAACTAACTATTGCACTATATCTCAAATCTAACTATTATACTATGTCCCAAATCTAACTATCACACTATACTAGATATAATTTTTATTATTAAATTTAGAATTATAATTGTTTTAATTGTTTTCAGCTTTACTAAAATGCATTTTTTTGTTTTAATTTATCTTTTTTTTTTTAAAAAATTTATTTATTTATTTATTTATTTATATAATATGCAGATTTCAAGTTTATTTCTATTATACAACAAATATTTCAAAAATTACATAATATAATGAATATAATCTTTGCAACTAATTTAACCTTTAAGCCTTACCTATTATTAATCATACCACTAAATCATTAACTATACTATTAACAATCTTGCTCGTCACTAACTATACTGATAAATCTAACTTATCACTAACTATACTATTAACTTTATCTTATCGCTAATACTAATCTTTATTCGTCATTAACTATTATACTAACTTTACTAACTCTTACTCATTGCTAACTAGACTACTAACTCTATTAACTTTTACTGGTACTAACTATAATACTCACCCTAACCCTAATTATAACCCTGCCACTAATTCAATTCTATCTAACTTTAAAGCTACCCAATAACTTAATCTAAAAAAAAATTCACTACTCTACTTTACACTGCTATATTTCAAAAATATCAATATCAGTACCAATGTGACGATAATAAATAGTATCACACAAAGGATATAATAGAGGCAAAAACTCCAAGATGCAAATACTAACAGCGAAAATAAATGAGTAAAACCTCACAAATAGCAATGTATTTAGAATGAAAAACTGAAAGAAAAACTCCTATATGTACAAAAAAAAGTTAGATATGATTATAGTAAAAGGAAGCTAAAGCTTCAAAATGCCAATATTAGCAATGACAATATAAACACGAAAGAACTCATTAATGACACATCACGATTGACTTGATGACACCAAAAAATATTAATACCAGAAGAAAAATACCAAAAACCAAAAAAGAAAATACTACATATTCAAAAAAAAATTAGTAACTAATAATAAAAATAAATATAAAAAAAAAAAAAATACTTATCTTCGTAATATATGTTGATTTGTGTAATTTATAGTGTTAAACAATATAGGTGTATTTTTATAATTTTTGTTTGCCAAATTACTTAAAATTACAGTAATTTGCTAACCCTAACTACGTCCTAAATCTACAGTAACTACCAACTATACTCAGATAAAATATAGTATAGGTGACATCTACTTTAAATCAATTGATTATTTATTAAGGTGTCATCTATACTATATTTTATTCTTATGCTCAAATCCAACTACCTACCATGCTATGCCTATTGCACTATGTTCTGAATATAACTATCATGCTATATTCTGTTTTCTGTGTCTCTTCTAACAATTGTACTATGTCTCATTTTAATAATTATACTATGTCACCATTCTATCATATATTCTGTTTTATCATGCTACCTCTATTCTAACTATTATACTATATTAGTTCGACAATTAATATATCCTGTTCTAACTATCATATTATATCTATTCTAACTATTATACTATATTTTAACTATCATGTTATGCTTGTTCTAACTATCATACTATATTTGTTTTAGCAATTGTACTACATCTATTCTAGCTATCATATTGCATTCATTCTAACTATCATGCTATATCCTGTTCTAACTATTATATTACATCTGGTCTAACTATCATGCTATATCTTTTCTAACTATCATGATATCTTCTAACTAATTATCGCAATATGTCTATTCTAACTATCATATTATGTTTGCTCTAACTATTGTGCCAAGTTTATTCTAACTATTTTGCTAAGTTCATTTTAATTTCTTGCTATATTCATTCAAACTATATTTATCCTAAAATTTTAAGTCTGGATTTAATTAATGCAAATATTATACATGGTCTTTAGTAGAAAAAATCATATGTTTATGAATAAATCAAAAAAACACATATTATGTATTCTGTGAATTTTTCGCTATTTTGCCTGATCTTATTTTTTTATCATTATTTAGACTAATTCAGAAAAAAGCAAGTATTATACATGTTTGTATTTTAATATAGTAAATTAGATATATAATAATAAAAGATTTTATAATTTATCGCTATAGCGATATATTGCTACTCTTCTAAGATTTATTTGTCATGCTATGTAATATCAAGGTTTCAATGTTTAAACTCTATATTACTAATCATAGACAGGCTTGAATATTGAAACCCCGACATTACATAGCATGACATTTAAGATTCAGAATTTTGATTTTCAGAATTTTGATTTTCGGGATTTTGATTTGACTTAAACCCAGATAGCAATATATCGCTATAGCAATAAATTATAAAGCCTAATAATAGATATCTACTTTTTTTCTTTTTAATTAGTGATTTATCAATCAACCAGAGAGAGGTCATAGTGTAATATAATGTGGTTTACATATAGAAATTAGAGTTTTGTAAATATGGGCTGCATCATTTAAAACTTTTTTTGTATTAAGTTAACCACCTTTGGGCTTCTAATTGAAGTTGTAGAGCTCATTGAGACAAATCTAATAGTAGTTAAATCATCAAAATCAGCTTTGTAAATTATAAAATATCTTTGAAAAATGTTTTGCTGACTATGTAAAATTCTCTTTCAACAATACTATTGTTAAAAGAGAATTTTACATAGTTAGTAAAAAGTTTTTTTGAAGATATCTTGTGATTTACAAGGCCGATTTTGATGATTCAACCACTATTAGATTCATCTCAACGAGCTCTACAACTTCAATTAGAAGCCCAAGGGTGGTTAACTTAGTACAAAAAAACTTTTAGAATAATGCAGCCTATATTCACAAAACCCTATTTTCTATATGTAAACCGTATCATATTATACTATAACCAGATTGCCAGGGTGTAGAATTGATTTTTCAGTCACATGTCTTTTGACCTGGTCTTCTATTATATTACATAATACAAATACGTGATATAAAATATAAATCAAACTATAATTTTTTTTTGTTAATTTTTACAGGGCTATGCCTCTAACTTTATTAAATATCATGAAATTTTTATACTTTGGAATAAGTGATAATATTACAAGCACCATTTTTTTTAAACTTGAATTTAGAAAAATCTTTAATATTTAAATGAAAAAAGAACTGTTTAAAATTTTAAATTTCACGATTTTTTTATTTATAGTTTGACAGTTTGATTATTATATAGTATATTACACAAATGTATAAATGCATCTTTATAAGAAAAATTTGCTAATACTAAGACAAGAATAGAGTCCAAGACTTTGAACCTCTTCAAGTAAAAACATGTCATCATCTGTTTTATGCTATTTCTATGTCATTAATAATTGTAAAAGCACAATTTAAATTATTAATAACTGCTTCTATATGGTGTAAATTGTTATTTGTCAATTCTGTAGTTAAATGTTCAACTAAATGATTTAATGATATTATTTTAGCCTCAATTTCTTGATGCTAGTTTATATTTTCAGTATCTTTAGCATAATTGTTAATTGAAGATAAATTATACGGTATTAGATTAGGTGTGATTTCAGGTATATTTTGAGTTTCACTAGTTTCACTTCTATCCCAAATTAGAAATAGATATTCAGTTCATCATTTAAAGTTAGAGTAAACTAACCGAATATCTTGTAATTCTATTGCTTTTGCCTTTTCTAATACCATGTGAATCAAATGCTTGCAAATTAAAAAATGGCTATAAAGAAAATAAGAGCAACTACAAACCTAATATTTTAAATCAATAAAATAACGTTTATTAATTTCCTTGTCAACTAACTTTTCAGCAAGATTTTTCTATTCTCTCTTGAAATTCTCAAACTATGACAGCCTTGATCTACCAAGTGAAATCTGCTGAAAGCATGTAATTTGATCTGGTAATACTCAAGTACCAATAATTCAAATAAGATAATTGAGTCTTGGGCGATTAAATTGATAAAGGTAATAATGTTTTAAAACCTTCCAGTAGGCTTCAATCATATTATTTTATCAAGAGGTATTGCTTTCCATGTAGAATGAGCCCAGAGATACCATCTGGAAGGTTTGTACCAGATACACTACAAATATGACCAAAGCAGTACAAGGTTATTTGTATTGCAAAATTTATATATTTCTTCAATCACTTTTCTTCTTATTTCTGTAAAAGATAGAAATTGACCATTCGCACTAGTTGGAATTTTGGGATATATATTGAAATACTTTTTGACAAGATCGATAATATTTCCATGTAGATTAGATAGATAAACAATGTAGTATTCCTTATCTTCACATTTTAAGTTAGGCTTAAAAAAAGGACTAACAAAAAGAAATTCATTTGCGACCTCTTCATATTGATAATCAGTTCGCTTTATTTTATTTTTATTTCTAATTTTTTTTTTTAGGGCTTTTTCGATATACTACAAGCAAAGTTGTATATTGCATGCTGGCTATATTTTTTTTACAGAATTAATTTCTGTGAAATCTTTATTGGTATAAAAGTATATAGAATACAGACCTTTGCTATAAAAGATACTAAAAAAACTCTCAAGTACCTCAATTCGCACTTTTTTGTAAACCTCATTATCTATTTTTGCTATATTTAATATTAGATAAGCCAGAGAAAAACTTGCACCTATATGTAAGTGATATAATTTGTAGTCTTAATTAATAATAATTTTATGATTTATTAATAATTTTGTAATTCGTAGTATTTTTAAGAAATATATATTTATAAATTTACAAATATATATTTCTTAAAATTAAATAAATCACAAAATTTAATATACAGTCAACCCTTTCTATAATGAACTAACAGTTCTAGAAGGAAAAAAAAGTTCATTATAGAAAATTACTATATTTTCTTAAGAACCTATGATGTTTTCTATACTGAATTTTTATGAAATTTTAAATTTTTGGGTTCGTTATATCGAAAATTCGTTATATGAAGGTTCGTTATATCCAGAGTCGACTATATTTATTTTAAAAGAAGCACTAAAAGCACCTTCAAAATTTTCAATAAGCCCATAAAGTTCAAAACATCCTTTGGCAGTTTTGTATATAGTATCGCCATTATATTTTGCAATAGATAAAACAAGAGAGTGGTAAAACTAATGGCTGTAATATTAGTTTCTAGCTGAAAGTATAAGTCATAGCCATTTTTTTGCTGCTGTTCAATAAGCGTGCATGCAGAAAAAACATGATTTTCTTCACTTTTGTAAAATTTTTGTGCATAGTATGACTACCAGTAGTGGATCTGCTTTGAGGTAATTTTGAATATATCAAATTTTTTTTGAAGATGCATCCGCAAGTGAGCTAGATTCAATCTCAAGTTTTTTATAATCTCTTGTTTTATTTTCTGAGTTGTTGCAATATCAATAGGTGTTTCATAGATTAACTTATGTTGCAATACAATTTTAGACTTTTCCGCTAGAATATCAATATGAATAGTTACAATCAAAATGATCAATTCTTTTACGATTTAAATATTTGTATTCACGTTCAATTTTAGTACTTTGAAAACATGCAAAATATGCATTGCCAACACCTTCATGACGGGATGAAAGTTTTGGTGCAGTTGTAGCTCTGTAATTACAAATATGTATATTACTTAGTATGAATTTTACTTCTTGTGATGATAAAATTTTTAAAATTTGAATTTTAATTAGGGATTTAGAATAATTTAAGGGATCAAAATTTAAAAAAAAATTTAAGATAAGTATAATTATAGTCATATTTAAAATTTACTTACATCTATCTGAAATCATCTGCTTCTTCAATCTTATTAACAATCAGTTTAGCCATTATTCCAACTTTTGTGCTAATAACTTTAAGGGTAGCATTATCAAGTTTAATACAAAAGTAGAAACAGGCAAAGTATCATATTCTCCCAATCCATTAATTATATCAAAAACATAGTTACTAATTTCATCAAATGAAATCATTTCC